AAACACACACACACATACCAAATCTAAATATTCAAAATTTCATTTATTAAAGCTTCATAAACAATAGGAAAAAAATAAAAGAGAAGTCTCTTCTTTTTTCCTTCAGATAAAAGAGTGTGGTTACTAATGCCCATGCCCTATTTTTTGTGGTCTCGTGTCTCTACAGCTACTTGCAGATGGTGTAATCCCAAACGAGTATGGAATCAATCCAATGCAGAAATTAAAAATTGGATCGAAGGTGTATTTTTGCTATTTTTTTCAACTTTAGAGTATATATCCTACTTCCCCTTAGTGCGTAGAGATGAAACTTCTCACAATTTTCTGTAATAATACCAATTATCCTTCATGTATGGAACTTAATGTCAGATTGCCCGGCGCTTGTTGGGGAAAATCTTGATTGATCTGAGAAATACACGAGAAGAAGCTATCAGTGTTGCGGAATTGAAGAGCAATCAAGACAATAATTCATCAGTCTCTAATACTGGAAAAGAAGATGCAGATTACCAATCAAAGTCTCATAGTAAGATTGAAAACTCAAGAAGAGCTAGTTTTACAAGTGATATGTCAATGGAGCAAGATGATGACGATGATAAAGAAACTAAATACCGTTTAGACCCCAAGTAAGTATGACGATATTTCTTTGAAAACCACAACCCCACACTCTCCTTACTGTTCGCGTTGATCGTTAATCAATACTGTTCACGTTGATCATTATGATTAAACAGAGAGAGAGAGAGAGAGAGAGAGAGAGTTTCCTTTTATTTCCATAACTTTTACTTCGTTGATCTTTCATCAGATATGCGAACGTGAAAACACCAGAGCGTCACGTGCGGACACGGCTATACTTCACTTCAGTGAGTAAAACACTTTCATTGTTTCTACTTTATTTTCCAATGACCATGTTTCCTGCATTTTTCTTTAAATATGAGTCATTCCTCCACTGCTTCATTAGTACTTCCTTCTCAATATATGGACTACTATCGTAATGCTCAAAAAAAAAAAAAAAAAAA